TTGGTTTTGCTCTTAATCTTTTGTCAGATTCAGGGGAGCATCGGATGGCGCGTGAAAAGGCCGCTGGCAAGGTTGTTTGCAAACCTAAGGGACCGCTAAACTACAGGCTTGCGGCGCCACTACAGCAGTGCCCTTTTAGGCGCTTCAGCAGGGGGCTGCAATCCTTACCGACGATTGAGTTTCGGGCTTTTTAAGTTTGCCTGTCCATCGGGAATTGATGACGTCAAGGCGACCGACGTCATCAACCTTCAGTCGTTACCAACCGTCCCTTAACACCCTAACGAGGTGAACGATTTAATGATATGAAAGAACTTCTTCATCTCTTTTTACTCTCGATGATTCCAACGTAGTCAATTCTGTGAAGAAAGGAAAATCTTCTGCCACCATCAACTGCCACAATCAATAACAACCGAACCGAACCGAAACAACTCCCTCCATCAAACCCTAAAAACCCATCAACATGTCTTCGTCCACAAACACCAACCCCCAAGGCCAGAACCAGCCGGGCCTTGTGGCCAGCCACGCCGAGTACATTAAAGGCGCTGCGGAGGTGAGTTTTCTCTAATTATGTTTTCTATACCACTGTGTGTTTGAATATTATACTCATATTCGGCCTCTCTTTCCCCAGAGCGTCATTGGCAACGTCACCGGCTCGCATGCCTGGACCACGTCGGGCGAGCAAGACAAAGCCCACGCCAAGGCACAACTGAAAGCCGCCACTGAGAGCCGAAACCCGGCCACCGACGGGTACGGCCGTGTCGAGGAGATTGCCGGAAAGGTGACGGGCTGCCAGGGGATGCGGCAAGAGGGCATGGCCAGCGCGAACAAGCCACGATCCGAGTAATCGTGGGGCGGCAGGTTGTGTTGCGCGATAAACAGAGAAAAGGCTTACAAAAAAAAATTTATTGTAAAACAATAATGGGTTGTATCATACATGCGTGGGGTGGCCCGATTGTTACGGCATGAGGAAGGAGTTAATCGGATATTTCATTGACGCTCGCCATGAATACATACGGTCCAACAAACTACAATCGTTTCAATTTGAAAGTGCTTGCGCCGGTGCGGCGAGCTCGGCTTTCACGCAGGTCTTTCAGTCAGCTGGCGGCGCATTTGCTGATGGAAGTTGGAGCATTCTTGTTTTACAACGCTTAAGATTCCTCAGCAATGGGCGCAAAGCATAGCCAGAACAATTTAGACGATCTCGACGGCCAAGATAAGAATATAGGCTTCTTCTGCCAGATGAAGCTTGAGAGTAAGGCCGGTGTCCAGAAGATGGGCTGCAATTATAATAGCATGGAGGGGGGCACTCGTGATTGCTGTAAATCAGGTCGTCTTCGAAGGGAAATATTACTGCGTCAAGTTGACGCTCATGTCTCTACGTAGCACAAGTTGTTGGTCAAGATCCAGAGACCACACATCCCTCTAGTCAATAATTAAGAGCCACATGAACTGCCAATCAATGGGGGATATCGGCAGCCACGTTATTCAAATACGGTATACGCGGATAAAATATCCGAAAACCCCTAAGGATGACGCTGCCGTAGACATATGGACGCAAAGAGAGAAGTTATATGTCCAACAAATGAGTCATATGATTTAGATTTCGGCTGCAAGAGCCCTTCATGGTCAACATTAACACTACCAACTAAGATATACTATTAGAGCAAACTCGACGAAACAATTATGCGCAAAGAGTGAAAATCCCGACAAACGCTTTTGAGAGAACAAAGCACGGTCAAGACATGGTTAATCGCTAAGTCTCAGTCCTCCCCCCGGTCTGATACTAGCCAGATCACACTGGCTCGGCTCAGTACCCACCGACTAGTAGTACTTGGGGTTCGTGGGGTCAGTCAGATCATAGATGACAGATGAGTGAGGGCGGGCACCACCGCGGCTCTTGGTGAAGATGTTCTCAAAGTCGATGGTGCGGTTGAAATGCAGGCTGCCATCGGGGAGGATATCAATCCAGTGACCCTTGTAGTCACCCGGGGTGTTGAGTACCGAGATATCGCCAGCCTGAACAAAGTATCCCGTGACCAAGAGGTTCTTCTTGTCGGGAGAGATCTTGACGTAGTGAGGACCAATGATTGGCTGGATCTCATCAGGGTTGTCTAGGCGCTTGACGTTGTTTAGGTCTGAGATGTCGAGGGCGGCAATGTGGTTGCCGAGGGTGATGGTAAAGTAAGCCAGCTTGCCGTCGTCAGAGATGTCCGAGTAGATGGCTACCGAGTTGACGGCTTTGGGCCCGAGGTCGAACAGGGGCTCGGCAACACCTTGCGAGCCATCGGGATTCGTGCGGAAGGGATAGATGATCCAGACCTGACCAAGACCGACAGCAGTAGCAAGAGCCGCGCTCTCCGGATTGCCAGGGATGAACTTGACATCCTGGATGCCCTGGCCGTTGGGAATCCGGATGGTCGAGATGATGGAGCGCTTGGACAGGTTCCAGAGACGAAGGGTGTTGGCACGCTGTATTCCCAAGGTGGGCTTGAGAATAGAAAGAGGGACGACATAGTCAGAGGTGAGAGCAATTTGCTTGTCGAAGTCGATGCTCAGGCCGTGTGGAGAGAACTGCTCCCCCAAAGTGTTGAGAGTGCTCTCGACATCGAGGACGCTCGGCCACTCATTCACGATATTGCCTTTCGCATCTGTTTCCACCAACTTTCCAGGAGAGGTACCAACGGCACTGCCCATGTAGGTGATGAAAAAGCCGCTGCAGAGCCATGTCAGCCTAAACTCCAAGGCTATGGTTCTTCTGTGAGTGGAAGTCTTACCCGTCAGGCTTGGCCCTGATCTCATCAACGATGGAGCTGAGGATGGCCCGGTTGCTGTGATCAAACTTAGGTCGGTACGGATTGCTGACGTCGAAATAAAAAGCAGTGTCCTGCGTTTTGAGAAGCGACAGGAGGCCGCCACCAATCAGTAACTTGCCGTCGTGGGAGGGGCCAAGATGGTGAGGCGAGTTCCCACTGGATGGAACGTCGGTAATGTCGATGATGGTTCCAAAAGTCGCCTGCACTGATATGTCAGGTGATTGAACCTCGCCAAGGGCCGCTCGGTGTTAAAACTCACATCATCAAGACTGGTGGTTACCAAGAAATCCTTGTGCTTGTTGTCGCCGGCGCCAGTCCAGAAATAGCCGATCTTCTTAGGCTTCAGGTTGGAGGGCGTAAATGGGTCACTTGGCAGCGGCGGGAGAGGAAGCTGCAAGATGGGAAGCGGAATGCTCACTCCATTCGTGAGGGGCTCGGTAACTCCCGGAATCAATGGGATGAGGGGTGGGAGGCTGAGGCCGAGGGGGTTCCTCTTGTCGCTACCTCCAGTTGTTGACAGAGGCGTGCCGGAGGCGAGATGGGCAACCAAATTGCCCAGGAGGGCGAATCCAACAAGAGCGGAATGCATCGTCAGAGATGGTGACGTGGATGTCTGATTGATGATGTTGAAGGATGTGATGGTATTGGTGATGGTGGTTCGGGCCTGAATATCTTGGTGCTGGTGAGAGTGTTTGAGCAAGATCAGGTAAATGTGCCTGATACTTATACTCATGTTGCCTTCTGTTCCTGAACATCCTTTCCTCCTTTGAAAATAGCTCTCCTTCATCTCTCATGGTCAAACTGGCGTGCTCAAACGAGAAGATGATGCCATCCCACCATCTTCGAGATGCCCTAATTCGACTCTAGACGGTTGTTGAGTGCCGAAGCATAGGGCCCCCACTGCTATTGCAAAAAGAAGTGAGAGGCGTTCTCACTAGAAGACCGAACTCGGCCATCAGGTGTCCAGCAATTCAGCTAAGGTCGAGCAAATGCTAGCTGGACTAGGTAGCGATCATCGCCAAGAAGTCGGGGGTGCTATTGGTCGAGTGAAGCCATCACCAACGTGGAAGAGAACGTGCCCTCCTCGGCACCCTAGGGTGACAAGTCAGGTGAGATGATCGACATGCTAGCCTGCAAGCGCGGCTTTGCCAGCACGGTAGCATGCTTCCTCTTGGGCAGTTCCTAATTTCATTGTTACATTTAAGGTGCAATGAGATCTCATGACATCACTCTTGTTAAAGTCATGGTAGTTAGTTGAACTTACCTCTCCGTAAGTCTAAACTGAGTAGTACCGGGTTGTGTAGATTCATATTTCAGGGAATGGTGGTTCGGCTGGTTCTCTCTCGGGATCACCCGCCCAAGAATCTCGAAATTCACGTCACGTCTCAATTCCATTACATCCTTTCCTCTTCCTGTTTTCCCCTTTGGAACCAGGCCGAGGATCTCTCCATGACACCAGTCTTCAAAATGCAGAACGTGCTTGCCGATCATCACGCTGGACCCACTCCTGAATAGGAACATAAGAGGCAGGCAAGGCGGGCGACCAAAAAATTACCGAGATCGAACCTAGAAGAGCCGGATCGGCAGTCATCCGGCGACAAGCTTTCCTGCATTGGCAAGGGGCGATTGGAGGGAGGCTCTAAACTAGCTTGCATCTCTTGGTGTTTTGGGCGGATCGGAGATGTCGTGATCGTGGGGTTCATGTGCTAGACTGAATGACGTTATCAAGCCCTGGCCTGGCGACTGAAACACTCGACGATCTTTTTCCTGTTTTGTGGCCGTCCAGTTCCCCATTCGGCGAACCTCTTAATCTCAGCGTGAATTGGGATTGTGAAAGGTGAACTGACCTGAAGATCCTCAGTTCCAAATGGTAGTCCGTAATATGAAGCGAGTGAGCCTTGCTCAACCCGCATGAATATGACAAAATTACGAGAATTTTCATTTCAGCCATCCAGCATGGACGGCAGGAATGATCCCAGCACCATTGCCAAATTTGGAGTAAGAAGCTCAAAGCACTACCTGCGTCATGGTCGTTTGAATGATTCAAAATCGCGTCGGATTGGATGTGGGTCCATTGCCTGTGCAACTTTGAAACAGGCCGGCCAATCATATCCAAAGGAAGTTCTGACAAACCTTGCTTGCAGTCTTAACAAAAAGAACCGGTGCAAACCAATCAACACCTCCATAGCCGGCGTGGCGCAATTGGTTAGCGCGTCAGACTTTTATATCAAAGGTATCTGAATGTTGCGAGTTCGAGTCTCGCCGTTGGCGGCTAATTGGTTGGCAGAGTATATTCTCTGCTCCAACTTTTTAATCGTTCTCTCTTTTGAGATTGAGTTTAATTCTTGTTGTTGATGATCGCTCGCTTGTCAGGCAGCACCTGCCGTTTGTGTTAAAGTCTTCGCATCATTTACGGAAGGCACTTTGAGCATGAACGACCTGCGCCCCTTCTTTTTGGGGCGTTTTTTGCGCTTCCACGAATCACACTTGCCATCATTGATCATTGTTATTTGTCCTTCATTCCCTCCTACCCGACTAAAATGGCAACCATTTCCCATCTTTATTTCTCCCTTTGCCAGTCACTGCTATCATGTGCATCGAAGGGTGTGCATTTCCACAATTCATTGACACATATAACGTTACTTGGCATATATTATCTTTTGTAGTTCGGGGAGCAACTTCCTAGCTTCTAGATTGATCGAGTAGGTAAACAAAATAGTTACCTAGCTAATGAATGGCGGTTTCATTATTCATACAGTCAAAATTAATGCGCGGCAACAGTGCTTGATTCTCCATTGTCGGCCTTCTCGCCTCCATTCTTGTGAAGACCTCCCAAGCCAAGCTCGGCATCGTTTGTCGGAGCGGTTCGGATAGCCTCTCCTTGAATATATCCACTCTCGGGGTCATGGGCTTCGCAAGGGCCAAACACATAGGCCGCCTCTCCGTGGACGGCGTCGTCGCCTAGCAGCAAATCGGCCTCGCTCATCCGGAGAGGGATGCGTAGCACGTGCTTAATGAAGTTCAGGATCAGGCTAGTCCAAACAATGTTCCAGCCAATGATGAACATGGCCCCAGCTAGCTGGTAGCCAACCTGGATGCCATTGCCTGCGACTGCTCCTCCCGGATTGGTCAGGCCAAAAGCATGACAGCCATCTTCCGTCGCCCAGAGGCCAGTCCCGAAGCCGCCCACAAATCCTGCAACCATGTGCGTATGGACCACACCTAGCGTATCGTCAAAGTAACGCTCGAGGAATTTGACCTTTTTGCCAACGATATTCATCGTCAGCCACGGAATCGCACCTGACCCGAGGCCCAGGAGGATGGCGCCCCATCCCGCGACCACACCAGCAGCCGGCGTGATTGCCACAAGGCCCGTGATCATTCCTTGCACCGCGCCAATGACGGACGGTTTCTTGAAGTAAATCATGTCGCAAACCGTCCATGTGAGAAGCGAGACGGCTGTGCACAAGTTGGTGTTGAGAACGGCGACACCGGCGTCGGCGCTGGCAGCATACGGGTCGCCTCCATTGAAGCCATTCCAGCCGATCCAGAGAAGGCCGGCTCCAATCAAGACGGTAAGGATGTTGTTGGGGCGGGCATCCTCTCGGTCCTTGGCCAGACGAGGTCCGATCCAGTAACAGCCCACGAAGCCGGCCGTTCCAGACGATAAGTGGATAACGTAGCCGCCCGAGTAGTCGATGACGCCTAGCTTGAACAGAAACCCGCCGCCCCAAAGTGAATAAGCCCCCACGGTGTATGACAGGGTGAGCCACAAGGGGACGAATATCATCCAGGCATAGAAGTTTATTCTCCCGAGGAAGGCGCCTGCCATGATAACGAGCGTGATGGCGGCGAACACAAATTGGAAGTACACCATTGTGGCGAGGGGGAACTGCTGGCTAATGCCGATGGAGGGCAGTGTTGATTGAGCCAGCATGGTGTCGATGCCAAGAACATTGTTGGGTTTTCCGACAAAAGGCAGCATCTCCTCGCCGAAGGACGCCTCGTAAGCCCAAAGAACCCAGCAGATCAAGACGGCGGCAAAGGCATAAAAGGCCATGAAGGCGCTGTTGATGGCCCATTTCTTCTTCATAATACCCGCATACAACACAACCAGGCCGGGCACGGATTGCATGCCCACCAGGGTTGCTGCGGTCAACTGCCAGGCATTGTCACCTACAATTGCCTTGTCAGTTTTCAAGTATTCGATCACTAGGTTCTGACAGTGGCCACGACGAGGTTTGTGTCGATGATATTCAAAATGAAAATGAACCACTTGTGATGGTGGACATGGAGTACAAGAACCATATGCACATGAGATGGGGGCTTTGCGTCGAACATGCTTGAAAACAAGAATAGGTTTATTGACCCTAAGAATGAAATATGAACTCACCGCTCCCGACGCTGGATGCTGGATCGGGCGTCCACCAGACAGGTGACGGCGTCGCGGAAGGATCCGCCGTGGTGGTACCGTTGTCTGCCATTGTAGGTGTGGGCTCTAAAGGGAGCTGAGGTGTCTCCTTTAGGAACGGCGATGAGAATCCGGCAGCGAGATTCAGAAATCCGGAGAAAGGGTCTCGACCTATGCAGTCTGCAGGCTGACCGATTGACAAGCCAAATTCTGGGTTGTGCAAAGCATGGAGACTCATACAGAAAATAGATGGGCTCGCACAGCTATTAAAACCAGATCATCAAGACGCGCAAGGGGGGCCGCAAGAGCTGTCGTCTGCCTGGCTGCTCCGCTGACGTCTCGCCCAGCTTTGGTATTGGAGCTTCTTATCTCGTTGACAACACCAGCTTACGCCACAGAGATACCAGAATCGCCAGATTCAGAACGGCAAGCGAACTATTGCGTCCCATGCTAACCCGCCCGGGTAGTGGCATGGGAGAATCTTTGTCCGTTCTTATCAAGGATGAGTGAGTAATTGGCATTAGACGATGCTCAGCCAATGCAACAGCTCGAATATCGGAGGGGTGAGGAATCCTGCTGTGATACCGCATCTTCGGGACGGAGCGGGAGGGGTCAGAAAGTACCTCAAAGCTTTTCTGTGGTCACCACGTCGTTCCGCAAACACTGGTTAACCTCCACTATCAGCTGATATGTACCACCCATATCACCTCACCCTCTATTTTCCATCTCCTTTCCAGAAGATAACACTCTGAAAGATGTAACAAAACAGGAATGCTTCACAAGTGGTTACTGAATATCAATCGGCCTGCCAACTCTCGACCTCGGCACTCGAAATGTGTAAGAACCCCTGTAACGGCCCGTTGAGCTTAAGCCCAGCCAAGACCTCTTGGCTCTGGGGAAGTGGATATTCCAAAAGCTTAGCACTGTTAGCGGCTGGGCAGGGCGTACCTCAGAGCACTCCTGGGCGGACAACAATAACCACAAAGAAACACCAAGGGACAAGGAGTCCGACCCGCTCGCCAACTTTTGCTTATCTCTCTTTCCAAAACGAGGTCCTATCTCCCGGCCAATAGCGTTAGTTGGGCTTATCTGTGGCTGGCGAACAGATTCCGCGACCGGGAATTCCAGCCCCACCTTGACACATGCGCCAGGTGCTGCGGGGGAAGGGAGGCAGCGCGATGTTTGCTGACTCCTATCCAGTTGTTAAGCCACGCACCTGAAATTCTCTAAGGCTAGACTGAATACAATTGGCATTTCATGTCATGAGGGGGATGAAACAATACCATAGGATGGCTTAAGCAAGAGCTATTTCGGGCTTCCGTTTGGGATGAGTGTAGCAATTTTACTCGACGGGCTGAATACAAAGATACCTTTGAATACATCCGATGGATCTTCCATCCCATTGGCCACTCCCAGCGCGGAATTATTTCCAACATCTTCGCACCGCAGCGCTGAATATCCCCGACGCACAATCCTTGTTTTCTCCCCATACACGTATCGCGCAATGCAACACAAGCAGCATTTCGTGCTACATGGTGTAGAAAGTGAGGCTGGGGTAAAAGGTATGGATGTACCTTTAGGTCTTGTCTACAGCGGGAGGACACATCGATAAGAGCAGGAGGACTCTGAGGTGGACCATATGATGAGGATACCCTTTTGTCTCGGAGCCACGCAGCTCGCCGGCCCGGTGATTGTCTACCAACGATGAATAAAAGACGAAAAAAGAAGAAAAATAATTGAACTAACTGGTTCGGTGGTTCTATCCAGTCGTAATTCCAGATAGAACAAAAGAGGTTTCGAATTCTCATCATTATAACAAGCAAGTTTCAAGCTTTGAAACGGTCAGGTTTACAAGGACGGGACTTTGATTTGATTGTCTATTTATCTCAATACCTTACCTTATATACAATTCCGTTTGAATGACGCTACTAGTAGTAAAGAAATGCGACAGGTTAAAAATGAAAAGGGACATTCATTTACTTACCTAAACAAATAAATATTCATGTTGAATCTCTACCTATTCCACGCAATCCATCTTCGCCGCATTCAATTTCACTCCTGTCAGGTAATAATCATGTCTCCATCGCTTCTTACACCACAAGTGAAACGCGCCTATAGGTTAGGTCGCTAAATAAGGATAACGAAGTAACACAATAGACGACATATCTGAGGTCACAACTCATCGAGAGAGACACCTTTTGCTCTCCTGAGATTACGACAATGAATCGTTTCTACGATTCGAACAGTGAGGTCCCATTAAAATGTCCACAGACAAGAAGCAATATAGAGGAGCCTGACCTACAGTACAGCGGCGGTCGGGTTTGCAGTCTGGACATGAAATAAATGCGCACTTAGTTTTAGCCTGGTAAACTCGTTCGACAGACATAAACCCGATCACCACTTACTTCACTCAAAGGCTTTAGATTTTCAGCTGATCTGCGTCTCCTTGTCTGTTTACGTCGCCGTTCACTTTCATTACCATCCGTACCATAACATGGAAGCATCTTGTTGAAAGGAGAGGCCACGCTCATCAATTAGGTACGCTGCGTTGTCCGGGTCTCCCATCGCATTGCCGATTTTGTAGACAGTACACGTGAGAGAGTTTATTTGTGAACCACCGCTTTTAGCATTAATATGAGATGCAATTGCAGCTCCCCAATCCCTGTCAAAGAACTAATCGCTGGTATAATTTATCTCAAGCCTGCACTAGGCGAGTCTCCGCTGAGCTTTCATCCTGTCTGTTCCTCGCTCATCCACACCAAAAAAATAGTCCCCATCCCATACCCCAAACCATTAAGGAATTCGTATCTATCACTGTGTTCATTCTTTTCGTAATTCATCATCAGCGAGACATCGAAGG